TCGAGAGCAATGCAGATTATCTGCAGTTTTGGCGATACAACAGGACTGCAACAGAGTAGGATGATTGATTTGTTGCGAATTTATTTGAAGCATAGAATGGGATCATTTTAAATTTATCAATTGAAAGCAATTGCAGTGTATGCGCAAAGTTGTGGTTTTTGATGGAGCTGAGCGTTGGAACGGTATTGACAACCGCTTGGTGTCCGCTGTTACGTGGTAAGGTCTCGAAAGGTAATCGAAACATCAAAAATGACTCATCTACGGATCGCAAATTCAATTTCATTGGTTTTCTGGCCGTTGGAGGAACGGAAACTGGCATTGCGATATATGGGTGAGTGAGTGGTTTGTTATTCGTCGATGAATGAATTCAGTCAAAAAAATTTTTTTTTTGTCGCAAGACAAGAATAGGGTAACAGTGAGGATATCTCTCGAACAAATAATTTTCTGGCTTGAGTTGATTTCCTTTTCAGTATCCCAAATGAAGTGGAAAATATGGTCAAAGAGTCGGACACCGAACGTTGTGTTCTGCGATGCGCTCAACCGGATCTGCTGTTGAATCTGCCGGAAGGCTATCCTCAGTCGCCAGTCGTTTCGTTGGCTTGGAGCGAGGTCTACGGAGCAGCGCCTTTGGCCGCTGTATTCGCTTCGGGTGAGTTGACGAGTTTTGTGATGTGATGGAGGAAATAATTGCTAATAGGCATGTTGATCAGCGCAAATTGATGAGTGATCAATATCGATAATCAGATGGTATTGTGCCGTACATTTTTCATTTTCTAATCGTTTTGGTGTTGTCCGTATAGATTCATTTAGTGATTCATGATCATCTAGATATGGTGATTCCATTTAAGAATGATTTTCAATGATTTGTGGAGCAAACGTGAATTATTTCGAAGTGAATTTGAAAATCTGTTTGGTGCGATTTCGTTGTGATGCGATTTCTGAATTGTGATGTGTTTTGTGCAGAATTTCGCTTTCAAAATATGGTCAAAAGCATTGTGGAAGGATATCAGATTGGTGAAATGTTAAATTTAGGTCATGTCGCTGTTTGGGATATGAACAATAGNTCAAAAGCATTGTGGAAGGATATCAGATTGGTGAAATGTTAAATTTAGGTCATGTCGCTGTTTGGGATATGAACAATAGCGATGAAAGAGCAAAAATAATTCACGACGATGAATGGTCGTCGCCACCGATGCATGTCGCATTCACTGAACGTGATGAACGTTGGTCATCCTTTATTTCTTAGAAGCATTAAAATTTTCATTAGTTCATTTGAAATAAGAAAACTTTTCAATTGGTATTTTGATAGTACTGGTACTGTTTATTGATGATATCAATGATGATAACAGTAATCGTTAGCTGCGCGGAAAGCAGAATGTCAAGGAAGGAAGAATGTGATATTAGTGATTTTGGTGATAACGGAGAGGCATTAAGTCGTAATGAATTGCAGTTGGATTTGCTGATTAAATAAGTAGATAAATAGCGGTGATTATGATTTTAATATCACTTGGCGATTTCAGTTGCCATAAGCTTTCGGGAGAAATGTGTGCGAGTGTATGATGTGAAGAAGTTGAAATGCATTATCGAAGAGAATGCACCTCGTAGTGCTGGTATGAAAGTGAGTGGCCATTTCACTTGTATTTCAATGAGTTTAACAAACATCTTAACTTATATCTATCACATTTTCTTGTTTGTTAATGTTCATAATATGGTCGGTCGATCGGATAAATATATTTCCGAAATGTGTAAACTGGGTTTTTGCGAGGAAGGAGAAAAAAATTGTAGTCGGGGACCCCGAAAACGCGGTCGTTCTGAAAAAAAAACTCTGACATTCTCAGGTAGCATCGTTTGAACGCTTGTTCC